TATCTATATATCTATCAATCTATCTATCTATCTATATATATATATATATCTATATATCTATATATATATATATATATATCTAGCTATCTATATCTATCTATCTATCTATATATCTATATATCTATATATCTATCTATCTATCTATTTATTGATTCATTCATTCATTCATTCGTTTATTTATTTATTTATTTATTGATTTATTTATGGATTTATTTATTTATTTATTTATTTGTTTATTTATTTGTGTATGTATTTATTTATTTATGTACGTATGTATTTATGTATTTCTTTAGTTATGTATGTATGTATTTATTCATTTATTTATTTATATACACACATATATATATGTGTGTATATATATACATATATATAAAGATATACATACATATATATATATATATATATATAGACCACTCGGGACTGCTCGAAACCTCGACTGGAGTTCTGTGTTCAGCCCTCCTGGAAGGTCAAGGCTCGCTGACCGATCACGGCCCCGTGCGCCCGCACACGCGAAACCAGGGCATCCCAAATCCCTCGGAACCAGCTGTTTTCTCCAGGCGGCGGCCAGAGAAAGCTGCCCCAAAACATTCCCGGAAGAAGCCAGGATAGAAGCCACATCAGCTGGCAGAGCCCGCCACAGACCCGGACAAGGACCCGAATCCTAGGGTGCAGCGAACAAAAACAGCCAGCTGCATTTCTGGTGCGGACCCCTGGTCAGAAACACACTCAGGTGCACCTCTCTGCTGAGGCTTTTTTTTTACCACTTTGTTTTTTTGTTAAACCATCAGCGCTGACGCCCGTGACCAGCCCCGCCCGCCCCCCCCGTCCACCCCTCCCTGGTCACGACACGACTCGCGCTGGCGCCGTGTGGGAAGTGGCCAGTCCTGAGCCTTCCAAGACGGCGCCGGCGCGAATCGCGACCAGACCGCAGCCGCCCCCTTCCCCCGGTCACGCCCGTCATCGCCAGGGGATGTATAAAAAAAGCTCTCTTGAAGGCGCCCAGGGCCCACCCTCGTGGCCCGCGTCTCGGCAGGCCTTGGGTACAGTAGGGGCCCGACCACAAGAAACACTCCACAAGAAACCCAACCCTGAGACCCCAGGACGTCCACTGTTTTTTGATGGGGATCCAGATGTCTGAGGACGCTCCAGACCTGGCAAGCTGGCCTCGCTGGCCTCCTCCTCCTCCTCCTCCTCCTCCTCCTCTCTCCTCCTTCCTCCTCCTCCACCCTCCCCTCCCCCTTCACCTTCCTCTGCCCTCCTCCTCCTCTCCTCCTGCTCCTCCTCCTCCTTCTCCTCCCCCTCCTCCTCCTCCTCCTCTCCTCCTCCTGTCTCTTGTTTCTTCCCCGGGTGTCCTCGTATAGACGTAATACTTATTGTTAAACCGTTTTCTTCCTCTTCTTCCTCAACCGTCTCCTCTTCTCCTCCTCCGGTTTCCTCTCCTTCTTCCCATCCCCTGTCCTCCTCCTCCTCCTCCTCCTGTCCTCTTCCTCCTCCTGCTCCTGCTCCTCCTCCCCTCCTCCTCCTCCTCTTCTCCTCCTCCCTCTTCTCTCCTCGTCCTCCAACTACTCCTCCTCCTCCCCCGAGGCCACCTCTTGCCTTCTACCCCTCCCCCTCCTCTCCTCCTCCTCCTCCTCCCTCCTCCTCCTCCTCCTCCTGCTCCTCCTCCTCTCCTCCTCCTCCTACCTCCTCCTCACTCTCCTCCTCCTCCTCCTCGCGCCTCTCCTCATCTGTTTAATCCTCTCCTCTCCTCTCCTCTCCTCTCCTCTCTCGTCCTCTCCTCTCCTCTCTTTTTCTCCCTACCTCCTCCTCCTCCTCCTCCTCCTCCTCCTCCTCCTCCTCCTCCTGGGCTGGGATCAGCTCCACCCCCGGCAGCTGCGCTGGCTGCCGAAGAGCTACAAGGAGCGTTTCCTGGACGTGCTGAGGTGCTGGGAGCTTTCGCCCGGCGAGAGCTCCCTTTGGCTCATGCTCATCGCTTTCTTGCCCAAGGCGGGGCTCCTCCTCGGATCCTCCTCCTCCTCCTCCTCCTCCTCCTCCTCCTCCTCCTCCTCCTCCTCCGGTCGAGGATGCGCCAGCCGCTGGTCGCGGAGTGGGAGCGCAGGCTTGAGGGCAGCTTCTACTGGGGCGGCGCTGACAGGACGTGTGATCGCGCTGGTCACGTCCACAACTTGCTGGCCGCGTTCTGCGCCCAGCAGGACGGCATGGCGGCGGGCACCGCGGCCCTCGACCTCGGCAAGTACTACGAGTACGTCTCCCACAACATCTTGCTGAGGGAAGCGCGGGCCACGCGCTTCCCGCTGCCGCTGCTGAAGGCTCTGTGCTGCGCCTACCGCCTGCCGAGGCGCGCGAGGTTCGCGGGCGCCCTCGGCATCACCATCCGCGCCAATGGCACGATTGCCGCAGGATGCTCCTGCGCGCTCGGGCTCGCGAAGCTGATGGTCCACACCCTCTTGGTGGAGCAAGCGCGGCGCTTCCCCTTGGTGCGGTCGCAGTCGCTGGTGAACGACCAGCTGCTGCAGGCGCTCGGCACCGTGGATCTTGTTGCCGCTCAGCTGCCCGCCGCCCTGGCCTTTGTGGTAGAAGGCTTGCAGGCCCGGAAATTGAAGGTCAACTGGGGCAAGACGGGTTGGCTCACGGCCGACAGTGCGCTCGCTGCCCGACTCGAGGCCGCTTGGGCCGGCGAGATTGAGCAGAGCCGAGGGTTGCGATGCCTCGGCGGTGACGGCTCTGACGGCGTCAGGAGGTCCGTTGTCGAGCAGGACAAACGCCTGGCTAAGGCGCGGGTTGCTGCCCAGCATGTCCATGTTCTTCGGGAAGCCGGCGCAGCCGTGGAGCGCATCCACCGCGGATCCCCCACCGCCACTGCGATTTGGGGCTCGGCCGTCACGGGGCTGGCCGACAACAAGCTCCATGGGCTACGGGTCGGCGCCCTTCGTTCGGAAGGTCGACTTCCCGCAGGTGCCAACGTTGGACTCAGGCTCCGATCGATGTACAAAGCCTTATGGAGGGACCCCGCGGTCGTCCACGTTGGGGAGGTCATGCATGCGTGGGCCATGTGTGTCGAGACCTCCCTTCCAGCCCTCTCGGTCTTGGAAGCGGTGCTTGAGCAGTCTCGCGGCATTCTGAAGTCCAGGGCCCCCTGGAGTCAGTGCAGCAACCCTGCCCAGGCCCTCCACCTCGTGCTTGCCAGAATAGGGGCCAGCATGAGGTCAGCCACGGAACTTGTCGGGCCAGGCGGAGAGGTGGTCGACCTCAGGTTTTTCTCCCCCGGTAGGGCGGTGGCGGCGGTGAAATACATGGCAGTCGCTGCCAACGATATTGTGTCCATCAGTAAATATAAGTGCTGGCGCTCTGTTCTGAATTGGAGACCTCTTGATAAAATCTTGTTCGGGAAGCCGGGGCTGGGACTCAGTCGGCACGGCAGGAACCTTGTTCGCAGCCTGGTCTCGGGGACCCACTGGCCTCAAGCGCGTTTGCACCGCCGCGGGCGGTCTATCTCGGACCAGTGCAAACTGTGTGGCTGTGTAGGCACTCTCTTCCATAGGGGGTTCGACTGCCCGTGCTCTGCTGGCCCCAGGCGCACGGACATGCCTAATTCGCTTGGTGTCGCAGCCAGCAGAGTGAGCAAGCTGGGTGCTGACGAGGCCGAGCTTTTCTCGCGTTGCCTCCCCCCCTCCCCCGGGAACTGTTTTGGCCGACCTGAGGCTCCTGAGGAGCACTGGGTCAGGTTTGTGGGCGCCCATCCTGGGTGGCTCTGGGGGGGGCCATCTTCGTGGACGGATCGGCCTTCAGCACTAAGCACGGTTCTTGTAGACGCGCGGGCTGGGCGGCCGTGCAGGCGGACCAAGCCGGCAATTTTGTTGCTTGCATGTATGGGGTGGTTCCGAGGGCTTGGGGGCCCGAGCAGTGGGCGCGGGGCGGGGAGGATTACGCGTTTCACATGTTGGCTCGGTTTTCGGAGCCTCCGTCCGAAGGTAATTCAGGCGTGCCGCTTGAAGTGTTCAGTGATTGTGCTGGCTCTGTGGGTTGCGCCATTAATTCGTCCAAAGCTTTGGACCCCAGGAACGAGCGGCGCCACCTTTGGAAGCTCTGGTGGGACAAGGTTGGTTCTTCTGCCACGGTCGCGAAGGTCAAAGCCCATCGGAGCGTCCAGGATGCCACGTCTTTCGAAGACTTGTGGAAGCTGCGGGGCAATCGCCTCGCGGATGAGTGGGCCAAGAAAGGGGCTCAGCTTTGGGACGTGGCCCCGGAGCAAGAACTTTTTGCGGGGGCCTGCGAGCGCAGGGCCGAGGACGCGGCCGCGTGGATGGGGAGGGTCCATGAGTGGCTCCACCAGTCTGGCCACCAGGATTCCGAAGGATTCGGCGGTTCGGCCGATGTCGTCCTGGATCTAGAACTGGAAGTTTCGAGCCTCAGCCCTGACGAGGCCAGCGAGTGGGAAAGGCATTGCGAGCAGCGGTCGCAGCTCCAGTCTCGCATAGGCCTCCCGCCCGAGCTTTATCCCGGCTCGGCCACCAGCGCGGCGCCCGCGGCGGCGACCAGGGCTGCCGCCGGGAGCGGCTGCAGCGCGCTGCGCCCGTGGCTTTTTCAAGGTCATGAGATCGTTCAGGCTGCGGTGCACGGCTCCGTCGGTGAGCCTCCTGTTCTGTTTTGCACAGGTTGTGGCGGCAGCGTGCAGCAAAAAATCAGGCCTGATTCTGGGCTGGCCACGATTTGCAAGGGCAATCGGCATCCAGGGCTGGCCACGCAGAGGAGCAGGCTCCGGCGAGGCCTGCATCCTAATTCTTATTGAGTTTCGCTGGATGCGATGGAGCTCGCTCCATGCTTTAAATCAGCTTAAATCACCTCCTCCTCCTCCTCCTCCTCCTCCTCCTCCTCCTCCTCCTCCCCTCCCCTCCTCCCCCCCCCTCCTTCCCCCTCCTCCTCCTCCTCCTCCTCCTCCCTCCTCCCCCTCCTCCTCCCCCACCTCCTGCTCCTCCTCCTCGTCCTCCTCCCTCCTCCTCCTCCTCCTCCTCCTCCTCCCCCCCCTCCCCCCCCCTCCTCCTCATCCCATCTTCGCCCAACTTAAGCCCAACAGGGCCCACATCATCAGGTAGTACCGGTCGCAATGTTGCGTCCATAGTAGCGGGTCCAAGGACATGGCGGAAAGTAAAGGTAAAAATGTCCGTTAAGCAATGTGGAAAGGAAAGATGCGTTGCATGGCAATACGCGCGCGGGGCCCGCGCGCGATCTTTCCAATCCGAAATAGCCATGGTCAACTATCTGCGCAAGCAAGGTTCAACATGTACATGAACGGCGGCAGGGAGCGCAGGGCAACGACTCCCACCGCGGCGGCCCGGCCGCAGCGGCCGGCCGGGGCCGACGGAGCACCATCGGGGCCTCACGTTCCCGACGGCGCCGAATTCGGGCGGGCGCGGGCGCGAGGCTCTCATAGCCGCCAGCAGCCCCGCCTGCCACGTGGAGCGCACCATGCGGCCATGGGCCGAGGGTGTCAAATAATGCGGGCGCGAGGCTCTCACAGCCGCCAGCAGCCCCGCCTGCCACGTGATGCGCGCCATGCGGCCACGGGCCGAGGGTGCATGCGTCTGCGCCCGCGTAGCCACCAGAGCGCCATGGGCGCATGGACGTCTGGGGCTTACCAGTGCCATCTGCCGCCGCGGCGCCATTGATCGCGGTCGTCGCAACGGCGATCTGCCCAGCTGTCATAACCGCCCTTGCCACGGTTGTCTTTGCCCGGTCCTTTGCTTCCGGCGCGGCTGGAGGTGCCCCTCCACGCACTCCAGGCGCGGTTCAATGGGGGGTCGGATTTGCCTCCGTGCGCGCCATGGGCGCTGGTCGGGCTCGGGGTTGACCTGCTGGGAAGATGACGACGCGGCGCCACTGTGCCCAGACTGGCGGATGTCCGTGTAACGGCGCGGACGTACCGAGGAAAGGGATGCTGTGCGACTGCCCCCCTTCTCTCGGGGTCGCTTGCCCTTCCCCGTCTCCGCGGCTTCTGGGGGCGGCGGGGCAGCGCCACTCGACGCGCTGCCCTCGCCGTCACCCGCGCGCGGGAATGCAGCCGCTCTGAACGCAGCCGCTCGGCCCCCTGGCATAGATGAGGCGCTGAGCGGACGCTCGCGGCTGATGGAACGGGCGGCCCGGGCTGCGGTTGCCAGGGGCTGGCGACGCCGTGCTCCTCGTGCCATGGGCACGCGTGAGGTGGGGCGCTCCTCGTCTGACTCGGGTGGCGCCACCCCATGCTGTTGCCGCATGTTCAATGCGTACACCGCAGCCTCGTACACGTGCAGCGGCCACAGCTCGACTGCTGCGTGCTGGAATGTGTCCAGCGTGGCTCGCTGGCCACGTCTGATCGCTGTGGCGTGCGACTGTAGCAAGTACTGCATGCACGCCTCGATCCTGTGCGCTTCAGTGGAGACTTGTGGTAGATCTGATCGGTTTCTATAGATGTCCCTGTGCGCCAGCTCCAGCATCTCGCGGCGCGCCTTCAGGATGTTGAGCTCGCGCACCAAAATTGGGCGGAACTGGCCCACTTCCGTGAGATGAGCGCGCATGGCGCGTTCATCTGCGCTGTCCGCATCAATCTGCGCCCAATCGAAGTCTTTGGTCAGTTCGACGGCCACCCTGTAGGCCTGTTCTGACATCCACTTCGTTGACGTTGAAGAGGTCCGGGTCGTAGACGGTGAACTCGGGCGGCTCGTGCCACATGTTGCGAATCTGTACCTCACAGGAGGCGAGGGCATCCGCCTGGTGATATTCCACAGGCTCATCCTGTGCTGCGAAGTATGTAACGAGCTCGTGAGCCGCCCTTGTGATGCGGTACTGGTCCATGGGTAGCCTGAGATCAGCTTGGTGAATGTTCTGGGGAGTCACGCGGGAGCTGTTTCGTCTGCGCATGGCGCGACCTCCGAAAGCTCTCGGTACGCCCTCTGATCGAACTCGACGTCGACGATTCGATCTGCCACGCCTGCCGGGGGCATGAGGTGGCGGCCGTGCCGAGGCGGGGCGGCGTGCCCGCACGTCCCGAACATGTTATGTTTCCTCTTCTTCTTCCTCTATACCGGCCGATTCCTCCTTCGCCGACCAGTGGACTTCTATTTCCCCCTGGATTTCCTGCCGAAGCTGATTGAGCCCCAGCGGCAGGCGCCCGCGATTGGCATGACACCAACAAGGCCAGCCAGCGGATGGATCAGCACCGCCACGCGCCTCGGGGTCTGTGGTGTCCCAGTCAAAGATGCCAAGGGCGTCCATCTCTGTGCTGAAATCAGACTGGCCCACCTGTCTCGACACGTACGCCCACCACATCCTCGTCGGGAAGGTCGCCCTGTTGCCAGTGGGTTTCCACCCAAAATACTCTTGGCACGGCGACCACCGACGGGACAATTTGTGCCCTTTGACCTCGCGCGCCGCGTTGCCATGGGCAGGGCGCTTGTCATTCGGTGATGCCGGAATCCAAGCGAACGCGGATCTTTCAGCCGAGAGAGTGGCTGCCTTTCCCGCCATGGCAGCGTGATAGCGTAATAGCGCGCCCTCGGAGGTGCCGATTTTCCCATTGTCCCGCCATCTTGCTTGTGTACGATCCGAGTTATGTATCATAGCTGCCCGTGTCCGTTGCCTGCCACCTCTGCGCTCATGGAGCGGGTTCGTAGGCCTCGGATCTTTCATCACTCTGGCAGTCATCCAGTCCATCGCAGGCCGAAAATTGTTGGGATGGTACGGTAGCGCCTCGTAGATGATGTCGTCCCAGCATTCTGAACAACCCATCATACCGTATCTGGATTTGTGTCCCATGTGGCAAACAAGGCATACGTCATCATGCCAGCCAGGCGGCTGCCTGATTTCCGCCCAACGCAGCATCCATCCGGTCCTCCCAGTAGCCGGCTCGCATGCACTGATTGGGCTCCAGGACATCGACGCAGCCTGTCCTGTGCTTGGGCGCGACCTGAACCATGGTCAGACGTCGGTCTTAGGTGACGCGCCACGATATCTTACTGCCAGGGGACTCGGATAAGGCGAAGATCTGCCATATGTTATTCCGGTGCAGGATGTTGGACACACGGAAGTCAAACGCCGATCTGCTAGTATTCGAGACGCCGTCTTGGCGAAGGAAAGTCGGGAAGTCGGTTGCTTGTTCAAGGCGGACCCGTTCGGCATCTCGACAAACCAGCGCTTGTGCTTCCTGAAAGCTTAATGTCTCGAATACGTCCTCTGGCGCCAGCGCCTCAAGATCATGGATCTTTGACGCATGCGGAGAAAGCGCAACGGTGTAAGCCACAGTGTTGAATTGTCTGATTCCTGTAGCTTCGTCGTACGAGGGAGCCACCCGCCCATTCTGACTGCGTCGAACGTCGGCGGCGGTCAATGGTATAAGCAGGGCTCCGTGTTTCCTGCGCATGCTGGGATCGCGCCGCACGTTCCGAAGGTGCGGACTGATGACCCTCAGCGAATCGCCGTACACAGCTCTGATGAGAGTGGTCGTGTCGTTGGAACCTAGAATATCTTGTCCGTCTCACCCTCCGCCAGGGACGCGTCTGCGTCTCCATCGACCTCGGATGCTCCGACACCTGTGCGGAGAACTTCGGCGAAGCTGTCATCCCAGTCCATGAGACGGGATGTAGGGCCTTCATCTGATGCGTCCATTTCAACTCCCAGCATTTGGACATCCTGCGGGTCAGGCACGGAAGCCGCGCTTGCCCACGGGCGGTCAAAGCCGACGCCCGTTAGCATCTTTATCAGCACATACACATCCACCCATCCGCCCGAGCTCAGCACATGGGCCGAGCTGTGGCGAAGGAGGTGACTGATCAGCCCGGCAAGACGGAGAGCCCCACTGCGTCCCACTTCGCTCGCGGTTGCGTAGAGCTTTGGGCGTAAGCGGGGATGCAAGGGCACCACCGCATGGTCTGGCCCAGGCAGGTTGCGGCTCTCGATCGAGTTGTATCGGGCTCGTAGGTATCTATCCACTCTGGATCGCTCGGCAAACGCCGGATGTAGTCCAGGAGCGGGTCGGCCACGAAATCCGCGTAGGTGGAGAGCCTGTCGCTGATAAGTGCTCGGCCCAGCCGTTGGCTGGGTAGCGCAGGCCAATTGTAGTGAAGTTCGTGTATGAGACGTGCTCGTGCTGGGGTTAATGCTGTGAAGTTTTCTCGCATGTATTCTGGCTTTACCAGCAACGGAACGCGTCCACTGTGATCGTGGAACCCTTCATAGGTCAGCTCGTCGTGTTCGGGTCCAAAACTCAAAAGATCATCAAAACGATCTCGCCGCGTCCATGGCTTCCCAAGCTCTTCTTCTGATATATTCTTGCCTTTGGGAAACGGCAGCGTATCGTCTATTAAGAAGTGGTCCTTACCGAAAAAGAGACCCATCATGAACGATGTATGGTCGGGTCGCGGGATCGATTTGAATGACCGCGACAACAGCATGGCCGGTCGCTTTCACGGACACTTCTCCTTCGACTGACATGGTGTCAGCATGATTTTCTTCGTGTGCATCCGCAGGTTGTCCTTTTTCGTTGTCCTGGTCGGATGTGGACTCGTCGGAGCTCCCTTCGAGGCTAACCTCTTGGATCTGTTGTTCGCACCACCTGTCGTACTCTTTTTTTTCGTTTTCAACGACTTCGGGTGGTGCCCCTGCGCCATGGGCGTCTGCCGATCGGCTATATATGCGATGCCTCGGCGGGCATCGATCCAAATGCACGGCTGCCCTCGGCATCGATTGACAGCGGCCGCATCGACGTGCAAGATAAATCTTCGAGCCTTGATAAACAGCCATCTTTGTTGTTCTGAAGCAGCCAATCGCCGTGCAAATGTAGATCTGATCAATGCGGGATGCGGCAGGTGATGCAGTCACGCTTACCTTGCGCATGGACACTAGCCTGGCCTCGGGGAGAGGCGGAGGCAGAAAGTCTGGCGCTCCCTGGCGGGGATCTCTGCGCCCCCCAAGAGGCGCCCCGCTAGGGAACTCAAAGCGTGGAGGCTTGCGATCTGCAAGAAATGGGCGCTTGAATCCAGCATGCCCAATGTTGCCCCAGCCAGAGCGTCGTCCTCCTGATCGGGATTCGCGCCATTCTTTTGCCGCATTCTGGATCATTGCCTCGCGGCCCCCCCGGCGCACAACGCTTTTGAACCTCGGCGGCCCATGGGGCTCAATACTGCCTGGGACATGGCCCGTGTCAGGCTGATCAGATCGCCCTTTTGTTTCCTCGTCTTCTTGTTGCGGAAGAGCATCCAGTCATTGACTGAGATCCTAGGCATGGATTCATCCATGTCCATCGTCCTCAGATTTGGGCGTTCTCGTTGCAGTCCGGCTAGCTTGAATGGAGTAGTGATATCCCGAAAGCCCTGGGCTACGAGGATGGGCGCGTCAAACTGTTCGGTGATAAGCTGTTCAGAAAATAGCTCACGATGAGTCCAGTCCCCCAGATCCAGGAATTGTAGACGTCTCCTCCTTAGCTCCTTGAACTCGGTGGCGATATCCCTCTGCTTCGTCGAGTAAAACCGGCTCCACGCCTGTCTCTTCACGGCTGCCTTGTCGAAGTCTATTCGAGGCTTCTCCAGCAGGAGCTGACCGGTTACCTCGTTCTCAATCTTCCACGGCGCAGTCTCTTCCTCCGGAGCAGGAGTGGGGTCGACGAGCGCCTTGAAGTCCACCTCGTAGTGGCGCGAATGTTGCGGGTGGAACACCCAGGTCTGTAGTTGGTTGGCCTGACTGGGGGTCATGAAATACAGTCGTAGCGACAGCCTAACACAAAGCAGCTTGGGAGGGCCCTGCCGCCCCTGTCCAGGCACGACGCATCCTCAACGTTGGGTGCGGCGCTCGCGTCGGCGGTGGCCCGCTCGCCCGCGCGCGGCGAGCGGCGCCCTCCTCCGACGCCGATCGCACGGGCACGCGCACCCAGACAGGGCGGTGAGGGTGGGCAAGACGACGCGCGCAAGGCGGCCGCGCGCGACCCGCTTGCGCCCGCTTGCGCCCCACAATATGGTCAACCTGCGCGCACGGAGGGCCCGCGAGCGGCGCGGGCCCCCCCCCCATGCGCCCCGGCCCCCCCCGGCATGGCTGCTGTTGCGCGGGCAATGCCAACCGCCAGGCAGAACCGCGCTCACGCGCCAGGGCTGCGTCGTGCGCCACCCCCGCTGCTGGACGGGCGCATCCGCGCGCGCTAACCCAGCGCCGCGCGCGCCTGACGCACGGCCCCCCGCGCCCTTTGTGAGCGCGCACAACCACGAGTCGCGTCGACGCGCAGCACGCATAGCAACTTGGGAAGGCCCTGCAGCCCCTGTCCAGGCACGACGCACCCTCAACGTTGGGCGCCGCGCTCGCGTCGGCGGCGGCCCGCTCGCCCGCGCGCGGCGAGCGGCGCCCTCCTCCGACGCCGATCGCACGGGCGCGTACACCCAATGCCAAACGGCACCCGCGCGCACCTGGGCGCGCCTCCAGCTCGCGGGCGGCGCGCAGCACCCAATGCCGAACGGGCGCGACGACCGCAGCGCGAAGCACCTAATCCGAATCGTCGTCAGATGTCGCGGCAACGTGGGCCGCGGCCGCTGCCTCAGCGCCCAGTGACTCCAGATCGAGGTACCGGAAGAAGGCGCGCCGCTGCGCGCTGTCCGTGCGCATGCCCCCGACATGACGCATGCCCCTCCACTCGCCGGCCTTTAGAATGTCCGCGAGACTGCCGCCTTCGCTGCGAATGTCCTGTGGCAACGCGACGGCACGCGCGATGCCGGGCGCGTCGCTGCCCTTGCCTCTGCAGGCGGAAGTCGCGAGTGCGGTGCTCATGGGCGCCCGCGAAACCCCGCACGGATACCATGACCCGCAGCGCGCGCAGCGCCTCTCCCGCTGCGACGCCAGGGAAGAGCGCTGCGCCCGAGGGAAACTGCGCGGCCCATGGCTGTAGAGCGTGCACTGGGCACGCGGCGCTAGAACGGCGGCGCCAACAGGAGCGCCACAGCAGGCTGCCCTGGGGGCGACTCTTCCGCCGCGCGAGCCGCAAGCATACCCGGCCGCCGCTGAACCAAAGGCAGGACTGATGATTGTCCTGTTGCGCGCAGTCCCCGGACGCGGCCGGCAGCGCCTCCGAGGGGACGCGCAGAAGGAACGCTTAGGCCAGGACCCAAAACTTGCCGAAAACCTCAAGAGCAGGCCTGCTTGCCGCAAGCGCGGCCAGCGCCTTCACGGCGGGGGGCCGCAAGAAAAGCTTGCGCCGCGGACTGAAGAGCTGCCTCTTAGCAATGGCAGATTTGGCCCGGCCCAAAGGCTCGTGCTTAAACACGTCCGTTGATGCGCCCACGAGCAGGCATGCCACCTCGACGTGGCCACGGTAATTCGCGAAGGTCGCGGCGCAACGAAAGTGCAAGCTCCACGCGAGCAGTGCCTCCAGCCGTAGGCAGGAGGCCCGCTGCGCCACCCAGATTGATGCTCGCGAACTCAACCCAGCACCGGACGCCGGATGTGCTTCGCGGGCAGCTGCCGACAATCGCGCACGCGCTGGCCTCTCGCAG